GAAAACCATGAAGACCGCGGAGGCTAGACGGTACTACAACATACTCTACTTTAACGCCAACAGAATCATCAGAAAACATACTCGCCTTTTCAAAAATATAAATCGAAGAAAAAACATACTCCACTCTCAATCTCACCCATAGATGTGTAGTCCCTTCGATGTGTTTACATCACTAAATCGATAATAATCTACAGTTGGTTTTTCAAGTATTCTTCAGATTCGTTTCGGGCGAACAACCACATTTCATGTCAATAGATGAAAAAAAAAGAACATTGAGATAGAATTGGCATAGGCAAATACACCAAGCCGAAGTCCAGTTTTCTTCACATATTGATATTGCATTGATACAAATTTACGTAGATCGATAAACTTCTGGGCAATGGTGTACAGACTGGTTGTCGGTGCTCTAGAATAAGATTAAGAATGACCCGAATCGAATGCGATGTTCGTTGAAATATAGGCAAATGATACTTTTGACACATCTCACCGTAACATAGTAACCAATAAACGAAACAAATGAAGAACAACGTTGAACATGTATTGATTCTATTTTGAGAATAAATCAAAAGTAAGCAATCAGTTTTTCTGTTTTGGACTTCTGAGTAACCATTCCGTTTTGTTCAAATGGAATGTGTCTTTGTAGAAAGGTCTTCGATAGGTCACCAATCTAAAAAGTTAGAGAGTTTTTTTTTACTTAAACTGGAAATAACTGCAGCTCAGTTCAACCATATAGCTTCCGGGTTGGGGAATTTCAGTCGAATTGTTATTGAATATATTGAGATTTAAGTGGAAAATCGGCAACGCTGAACACAGGTAGAGGACAACACAACATTGGGGCCCATAGTGTGCGTGTGTACTTGTCTCGGCTCTAATTTCCATATGAAAACAAGCATTTATCCTTGTATATCTGTACAATATTATACGCACACAGCGCGCATAATAAACAACTGAGGAAACAATGGTGGCATTTTTGTGGGAAATGATGGTTTTCCTTTCGAAATGCGTGCAATAAAGGCACCTTTTTTGCTCTTACCACACCATCACCACCACTTGGTGGTGAGAAAAAGTGAGAGCAAAAAAAAATGAATACCGTTCCACATCTTCGTTCTTTTTTTTTTCAACATCGGTACATAAACAAAGCTGAGGATGATTTATATGTTGTTTTTTGTGTATTCATTTGTTTACCTGGTTTTAAAGCCCGATTGTACGCATCACGCATCTGCTTCTGGCCAACACAAATATCGGGATTATTTGAATCACTGAACTGATGGCATGACAGATAATCAGGCAACTCCAAACCGAACACATTGAAGAAGAAACGGCATCGGCGCATCGTTTCTGGGTATGTGACAATAAAAGAAAAAAGAAAAAAAGAAAATTCGATTTTAAATTTATGAAGAATCCACCATTTGGTGGATATTAATGCTGAAAACAACAAATTTTGATTTATAAAAGTCTTTATTGCATTGAGTTGACACATAATCAGCACAGCCGTACAACTCGAATGGTCACAGTGCAAAATGTTTCATTTTCCGCTACAAGTCATCTCAACTGTGCGATGTGTCTTTTTTTTATCTTCATCTTTTTATTATTTCATTCGGTGATCTTCTGAATATATTTGTTAATGCTATGTGAATATCTATGGTGGTATGGGGTTTTCAACACACCATATAAACATTACGAGCATCACCATTCAATACGTTTCTGGTTCGAACAAAAAAAAAAACACAATGAAAAATAAAACAACTTTGTATTTGACTTACCCATACAGAGTGATTTGCATGGTGGAATGAGACCGGCTGTACCGCATTTCGGCACGAATAGCGTGCATAGAAATAATGATGCAAGTTCATAGCATTGAACATCAACGATGGCTTCGTACGGTTCAAGGTCTTCTTCTGCCTCGATTTGGCTAAAATGGCCAATATAATTCGGATAAATTGTATAATTGTACGGCACTTGATGGATCTGGCAAAATTTCACAATGATCGGCAAACAAATACCAGGCGCTGGATTTTTATCTATGGAAATAGAAAATAGAAAATTGGTCACAATAAGAAAATGCGAATAAAAACAGATGAGAACACATAAGAATAAGAGAGCAGTTTTGAAGTGCAAAATACAGAATGTAAATGCGACGACATTCAAACTTTCACTCGAACTAAATTGTAATGACGCGTAAAACAAAATCTCTCTCTCTCTCTCTCTCTCAATATCAAGCAAGTGAACAACACTTGAACTCATATGAATAAATTCCAAGTGAAAATATCAAATTCATACTATGAATTATAACTGTAATTTATATTGTCATCCACTTGAACCGAAAAATAACAGAAGCAAAAAATGAACGGCAAAAGTAGTAATAAAGTCAAATGAAAGTGCATTTGCATACCAAATTGGCCGGTGATGAGTTGTTTTTTCGGCGTCTCTTTAATCGGTGTGACAGCAGATGGTGCGGGTCGTTGTGGTGTAATTATGGTTTTATTGATGAACTTTACCGTTGGATATGCCTTGAAATATGCGGCCAAACCACCTGTTTTATTTTATTTTCAAGTTGACAAATGAATGGAAATAATTTTAGAGAAACGAATGATTTTTCTTTGGTGGAAGATGGCAAAATTCTTTCGGCAAAAACGAAAATACGAAAATGTTCATGTTCATTTTGTCGATTGTGTGTAAAAAAAAACTTTTCGTTGCACTTGTAAAACTTACCAGCAATAATGAGCAGAGCAAGTGCATTGAGTAGGATTTGCAGTAAGCGGAATTTCAGTATACCTCGTGTTATGTATGGATTTGAGCTTTTTCGTCGATTTATGACCTGCAAAATGTGATGAGAGTGAGTGAGTGAGTGCACCAGAGAAAGCAGAAACAAAAACAAAAATCGATTGAAAAGAAAGATTGCACTCATTCATTTGTCGAGTGGCGAATTGCAAGGTGTGTGATAATTTGTCAAGCGAACCAAAGTTTCGATAACATATTCACAAACTTTTTGCACAAATTGAGCGAGTGCTCTATTTGGAAAACATGTTTGAAGTGGTTTGCTGCTTGTGTGTATGGTAAACGCTGGGAAATGGCCATGAGCCCATTTCCATGTCGCCATTGTTCATTGTGTGTGTGTGTGTGTGTACAGTATGTGCAAATCGGATTTCGCAACGGGCTGCAAATTGCATGGTTGAAAAGAATTACTTACTTTGTGCTGCAGTGACATATTCGAACCGTTTTGGAAGCGAACGACGGCCTGGAGGCTGGCGGGCGTTGATGCGCTTTTAATAATTGCTGAATTGGCGCTATTGTCTAAGTTATCCTTTGTTATTTCATCGGCGCACTTCAGATGCTGTTTCACTGTGTGCGAGATAGAAAATGGCGTTGAAATATTTGCGTAAAGGAATCCGTGTATTTTCTTTTCTCTGCTTTTTGATCGATGAATAAATAATTAAATCGAAATCGATAAATCTTCGACTTACTTGCATGAATTTTGGCGCTGTGTGCCAGTAACGGTTGTTCCAATTGTTTTGTATTGTAGCCGGGGCTTGAGTTCAGTGAAAAGCTATCATTCGAAATGGTTGAATCCTGTCGGAGTGTGCCGCGACCGGGAAAATGGTATTTATTATTTGAAAACCCATCGACGACGGTGCTATGATTGTTGGTTACCACCATTTCTTGGCCATTCAAGCAACTGGTGCGGCTATTATTTTTGGCTGATGTACTGGCTAAAATTGGTGCATCCAATTGTTTTGTATTGTAACTAGGGCTTGAATTCAATGAAAAACTGTCATTTGTTATGCTTGAATCTTGTCGCTGGGTTAATTTTGTGTGTGCAATTTGTGAGGCTTTCTTAAAACTGCGCCGTCCCATTACGACTTCGGATGTGGTTGCAGCGGCCGATGTGATTTTGGCCAATCCACTTTGGAATGCCCCCAACATGGAGCCATTGTACAGAATTCGCCCCGAATCGAGTGAATTGGTTGGTTGGGTTCGTGACGGTGCCGGCGGTGGTACTGGACGCGTTTTTGAGTGATTCAAACCATTCATACCATTGACTTGTGGTAAAATTTTTGCCATCGATACGTTTCGATTTGCATTTAAACCACCACCACCACCACCGTTGCCACGGCTCGATGCATTGCTGCCAATCGATTGATTCTTTATCGAATTACTGCTGTTCGAATTGATTGTTTTATTCGACACACTCAACAAACTATTCGAACTGTTGAAACGGCTAAATGTTTTCCCATGCAATATCGCTTGGTTGTTGAATTTATCTTCGTATTCGTCTCGTTTAACGGCTAACGGCGATATAATACATCTGGCCGCCTGATTCTGTAGCGTAAATGATTGATGTGTTTGTAGATCGGACGATGTGCAACTGTCAATCGATGATTGTGTGTCAACCGATGAGAAACGGCTGCGAAAATCTTCGGATGCGCCAAAAAAGATGCGATCATTATCATTTGATGCAGACATGTAGCCCGTATCGATGGTGGTTTGGGATTTATTTGAATCGCTCGACGATCGATTCGACAATGATATGATTGGATCACTACTTTTTGGCTCTTCAAATACCGATGATTCAATGCTTAGACGATCATCATCCGAATGTTCGATCTGTTGATCGATGGGATAGTGATTTTCAACTAAACGCCGTTGTACAACGGTCTGATTTTGGTTTATCGCCGGTTTAACACTATTGTTACGCCGTTTTACCTCGTCAAATGTTTGTTTGCACACGTTATTGATGGTTGTCTTGATTGTCGACGTTGGTGATTGGCTTGACGAATCGCTCAACGAACTTTGGATAATTTTACCCAAGAACGTTCGCTTTGGTACGGGTGGCGGTACTTCGGATGACAATGCTGCTGCTGCTGCTTTTGCTACCGTCGTCGTCGCTGCTACAGGTTTCGTTGTTGCTGTGGTTGCTACTGCTGCTACTCCTGCTCCTGCTATTGATGATGTTTCGGTAGTTTCACCGCTTATTGATTGCCGTTGTATTGCCGATGATTGATTACTGCCAGCACCGGATGACGCTGCTTGCTGTGTCGAATTTCTGCGTATGTTAATTGTTGATGCCGATGGTGGTGCTAGCATAAATTTATTGGTGATTGGTTCCGCACGCTTCTTCAGATACTCAATAATCGATACATTTGATGGAATCGCAAAACTCGTGCTTAAATTTGATCTACGGTCAAACAATACAAACATACAGAGAATTAATGGTTGGTTTATACAAAATTCTATTTCAGTATCGAAATTCGAATTTGACGACACACACAAACAAAAAATGTGAGTGTGGCTTTCTCTATCTCTCTTTCTTGAGCTTCAATGCATAGAAAACAGTGTGACTACATGGTTGACAGTGTTGATGACGACGATGATGGTGATAATTGACGATACATTGATGTTTTACCTTTCGTTCGCATCGATTGTTTTTATGCTGGCGTTGCTGTTACTGGCATTAGCACGACTTTGTGCAAATTCATCAAATGATGCTGTTGCCGGTGTAGTTGGGGTATCAGACGATTTGCTCGTGTAATGCGGATTGGAGAGTGTCGTTGTCATCGCGACTTATTACTTGGAGTCCAACTGAAAACCAGCAAAGAAATGAGAGGACAAGAATGAAATAAAATTTTACCCAGAAAAAATGAAACACAATTTTCTTAAACGCCAAAATTATTCGTTAATGAAGTTGTGTTTACACAAAAACGCGATTAAAAATGGCAACGCCAATGTGGAGACAGCACCACAGCATGCCATTTTCTCTTTCCACCCACCTTACCTCCCTCCTTCCCTTACTCTAATTCCCATGCCCTTCCCGCACTTTCGACTATTTTTCACTAATTGCATGGAAGCTGCAAAGCATGCAAAATGAAAGTGCTGAAACCGTGGAGGGTGACTGCTCGACAACTTATTCGCATATAAAATACGAATGCGAGCGTCAGCGCGAAAATTTTCCACGAATTTTCCATTTTTTAAGCAAATTGTCTAAAATCCGTTGCAAAGCGGATTGAAGTTTTTGTATATTTTGCTACTTTTTTTCGTTAATCATTGTGATGTTATTAAATGCATGAATAGTGGCCAGTGTCAACCAAATTCAATGGAATCTCTGCTTTTTCATGATTTTTCCCTTTTTCCAAAACAATATTTTACACAGCGATGGAAAAAAGAGAAGAAAAACTTTTTTCAAACAAAATAAAATTGCCAGTTTACAGACGAAAGATGAGCTTTGTGAAAAAAAATGAGGCAAAAATAGCATCCAATCAATAATGCCTATGACCTACAATCGAACTTTTGTTAATAAGTGGATGGTATCTACTACAAGTTGTAGTCTACAACACGTTGTATATAACTATGGATGAGATTGAGAGTGGAGTATGTTTTTTCTTCGATTTATATTTTTGAAAAGGCGAGTATATTTTCTGATGATTCTGTTGGCTTTAAAGTAGAGTATGTTGTAGTACCGTCTAGCCTCCGCGGTCTTCACGGTTTTCGCGCAACTGATAAGAGATAACAACATGGTGTCTTCGGCAAAGTTGTAGTACTCGAGGTCCTCTATGACTAAACTGAAGATAAGAGACAACTGTCTTCAACTAAGCTATAGAGGACCTTAAGTACTAAAACTTTGCCGAAGAGACCAAGTTGTTATTTCTTATCAGTTTCACGAAAACCGAAAAAAAACCGTGACGACCCGCCAAAAATGAACATACTCGCCTTGAACCATTTTTAAGTCGAAAGAAACTTACTCTTCTCTTTCATAACAAAGTCAGTGAAACATACACTACTCTCAATCTCACCTATACATATAATATGCGGACGTGTAAACGCCGAGAAGCCTGATGCCCTCGATATCGAGAGCGAATGATATGTACGCAAAAACCAATGACGGTATATTCAATATATGGTCGGTTTTCTTTTTCACTTAAATTCCATGCAAATTGGCTGAAATATTTTCGCACACCATTCGAGTGCCGACAGCAATCTCGCACTCACATCAGCAACAGCAGCAGCGGCAACAGTAGCCGACCGGTTATTAAGCAGCTTATTGAGGGGAGAGGTAGCGGCGTTTATAATATGAAAATCAGAAATATTTGCTTAAGAACACCGAAATTCGGTATGTGCGCTTTGGATGAGAGCAAAAACGATGTAGAGACAAAGGAGAAGTGGGAAATCAGGCGGTCTGAACACTTTGATAGAATATATTATTTGGAGATATTTACACATGCAGAGAGAGATAGATGTATACCAGCTTCTCTGGTCGGATGAGATCAATCATTCAATACTTTATGTAAATTTTCGCCCAAACTATTATCACAACCATCGGCAAAATTAACCGCATTGAAAATATTGACTATTGTTTACCGTATGTACGTTCTATATTTAGAAACAAAGCCCCACATGCAAACGTGGTACAGTACATGTAGGTGAATTCTTGATGTTCGATCAGACAAAAAAACACAGAAAGAAGCAGTTGGTGCGTGCGGAGGCGATCATCGAATCAATCAGCCCACACACGTCTCGTTGGCAAATTATTATTACACAATTTGTACATGTTTGAAATGGACATTTGAATTCCAATCACGATGCTTTTTCTCTGCTTTGTTTTTGCCTCACGATGTTTTTGTATTGCCAACAATCTAGAAAGAGCGAGAGCAAAGGAAGAAAAAACACACATTTCTGTGTTCAATAAAAGTCGAATGGAATTAAATCGAAGTACAGGTACTTGTTTACGCATAAAAAATCATGTTGAAAATAGACAACCTCGTCCAAGGTCGTACGAAAGGACAAACAGAACGAAACAACCGATAGAAACGTTGGAAACGAGAAAATTCTCGATAATTTTAGATTATTTTAATGCATTGTGCAACTCGAAAATGCATACAACCGTCAATCAGCCCACGAGAAACAAATGCGATTATCACATATGAATGGGCAAGCGGAATAATGAAACGTAATTCTGTTTTTAAATGAAGTGCCTCTGAGAAAAATTTTCAGTAAAAAAGCCCCACAAAAATATTGTCTGAATAAGATTTTCATACAAATTTTTATCAGACAATATTTTTGTGGGGCTTTTT